AATAAAATGCTACAAATAAGAACAGTGTGTGACAATGAAATAAAATGCTACAAATACGAAGAGTGTGTGACAACGAAATAAAGTGCTACAAATAAGAACAGTGTGTGACAATGAAATAAAATGCTACAAATACGAAGAGTGTGTGACAACGAAATAAAGTGCTACAAATACGAACATAGTGTTGTGACAACATTTGATGTAAAATTGCCAGAAACACAGAGATTCCTCTACAGATACAGTGTTGGAACAAGCAATATACTTTCTACAGCAAGGAAGTCCAGGGCTTTTCAACAAACATCATTCAACTGACATGTATTTAACAGACTTCGTTTTAAGCAAGTTACGTGTGATTCTATTAAACGTATTCTGTTTCTCTTAACTCTTTCAATTAGTTGTTTTTCTTAAGCATTCCTTTTCGATGATATTGATTGATTATTGAATTCATCCTTTTCGACTAGATATTCCTGGAAATTGTTCCTTTCAATTTAAACCAAGACACCTTAACTTTTTATGAAAACATTCTCGCCTTTATATTACACCTGTGTCCTCAAATCTAGCCACACTTAACCCCGTGAATAAATCCATCAAAGTGCATTATTTAACACCTCAAGTTCCTCGCATAGACTTACAAAATTATTGGCACGTTTATTACTCATTAACATAACAGCAGGGTGCTAGTATGAATTTCTAAGTACAAGATTTATAAATATTTCAACACTTTTACGAGCAGGATTATAGTGTGTACCTTACATTTTATGTTTACGGGAAGTACAAAAATCATTTAACACAGCGGAGCTTCGTACTCTTAAAACTGACGTATTCAAATATTGACGAAAACTGTACTCTTGACAAAGATGTGGCTTTAGACAGGTCTCTGAATTATATGTAATAAAGTCATGGTAGTTATAAACAATTATCATAATATAATGGTAAAAGAGAAGCTTGGCAAAGAGCTTCAAAGTTTTTAACCAAAACAATGGGGAAAAAATAGCAAAAATAGTATCCCTGTACTAGTTTTTGAAAGATTATAGCTTGTTCTATAAGTGCAATTTTTCTATTATAAAATTCGTATCTTCCAGATGTTGTGTCGAGTAAATGAGTGACAAGACATGTTCAAATCATCTGAATTAAAATGTCATCTGTTGAACCATAAAAAGCTTAAAGAAAGTAATAATGGCATGACTTAAAAATCCTGCCAAACTCGATCCTTATTTATCGATGAACTGAAACTGGGATTTGGGGTATTGGACTTAAAAATCTTGCCAAACTCGATCCTTATTTATCGATCAACTGGAAACTGGGATTTGGGGTATTGGGACTTAAAAATCTTGCCAAACTCGATCTTTATTTATCGATCAACTGGAAACTGGGATTTGGGGTATTGGGACTTAAAAATCTTGCCAAACTCGATCTTTATTTATCAATCAACTAAAACTGGGATTTGGGGTATTGGGACTTGAGAATTTTGCCAAACTCGATCTTTATTTATCGATCAACTAAAACTGGGATTTGGGGTATTGGGACTTGAGAAGTTAGCCAAACTCGATCTTTATTTATCAATCAACTAAAACTGGGATTTGGGGTATTGGGACTTGAGAATTTTGCCAAACTCGATCCTTAATGCTCAATCAACAAACTGGGATTTGATGTATTTGAGACGAATAAGTTCGCAAAAATCATCAATCTCGAATCCCATAAAATCTCACTGGCAGATTCACTGTCCTCGAATCTCATAAAGTCTTACTGACAAAATCATTGCTGTCAAATCCCCATAGTAATAATGGAAAAAAAAATGGTCCTATAACCAAAATCATTATCCTTGAATCATAAATTCTGACCAGGAAACAACAACAACATTACCTTCGAATCATATAAAGTCTGACCAGAAAACAACAACATTACCTTCAAATCATATAAAGTCTGACCAGAAAAAACAACATTACCTTCAAATCATGTAAAGTCTGACCAGAAAAACAACAACATTACCTTCGAATCATATAAAGTCTGACCAGAAAACAACAACATTACCTTCGAATCATATAAAGTCTGACCAGAAAACAACAACATTACCTTCGAATCATATAAAGTCTGACCAGAAAAAACAACAACATTACTTTCGAATCATATAAAGTCTCTCTGGCAAAATCATTACTCTGTAAGGAGAGTCAAGAGCTCTACCTCATACAATATTACTTTTCACTTCAAGAAAAATAATAAGTTCATCTGACAGTATACTACCATTGATAACCACAGAATTATATCCATTTAAATTGTATCCAAAAGCAAAATTTGTGAACATAAGATAAACTTTCAGTATACTTTGTAGTTACCCGAACTACCTGTAAAATGTAATTGTTTTATTGCATCTTTATGTAAAGATTTATGACATTTTGTAGTAACTCGAACTACCTGTAAAATGTAAGTGTTTTATTGCATCTTTATATAAAGATTTAGGGTGTTTTGTAGTTACTCGAACTACCTGTAAAATGTAATTGTTTTATTGCATCTTTATGTAAAGATTTAGGGTATTTTGTAGTTACTCGAACTACCTGTAAAATGTAAGTGTTTTATTGCATCTTTATGTAAAGATTTAGGGTATTTTGTAGTTACTCGAACTACCTGTAAAATGTAAGTGTTTTATTGCATCTTTATGTAAAGATTTAGGGTATTTTGTAGTTACTCGAACTACCTGTAAAATGTAAGTGTTTTATTGCATCTTTATGTAAAGATTTAGGGTATTTTGTAG